TCGACTGCCACCAGGTCTTTGTCCTTACTCTGCCGTCCATCTTCATCACTCCACATGATTGCAGTACAATTAGAGAACTTTTACATGTAGCATGACTCTGTTCCAAAAATCCGAGGCGTACAAAAGTTAAGAATGGAAACCTGAAACCTTACCAAGATTTGTTTCTGTCCTTGATGTGGTTCACTTGTCTAATTTTCAGAGCTGTATTTTCTTTAACTGACATTGTGTGTGGCTCTTGGGTTTTGTTCAGGCTCTGCTCCCGTTAGGAAGTATCAATTTTGGTGAAAGTAAGGGTGTAATTTGACTTTTAAACGTTGAGCGTTTACCTTAGTGTCTGTTGTTTCTACTCAGGTCATATAATCAGTGTCTTGGATTCCTGCCTTCCTTGGAGAGCAGATGTTACTGAGTGGTTTAAACATCCACATGTTTTTGTTGTTGTATAGAGTCGGACATACATACAGTCGCACACTCACAGACCCTTAGAAATAAAGCACCCACCCACGACTGCCTGGATTTCAAATGTTTCTAAAAACCACGTTCAGTCACCACAGTAACCTCCTCCAGACTCTGCACATCTATACACAATGTGTTTCAAAATCTTTTCACTGCCTTTCTACTGATGCCCCAATGGTAAATAATTCAACCCCCCCAAAAAGGCCCTGACATGTCAAGTGAGAGAGCTCCATTGAGCAAGAAGCCCAACAGAATGGTCATTCTCATCAATCTGCCCTAACTTCTTTCACTCTATGCCCAACAATACCACTGAGACCCCCCCCACCCCCCACCCCCCCACCCCGGGGATCTTAGCAACAGGGCTCTATGTAAATTCCCTCTAAAAACAGTGTCACCGCTCAGATATATTTCACTTAAATGAACAAAAGAAACCAGAGAGCCACCAGGTCAGGTGCTCTGTTTTAAGATTAAGTGAATGATCAAATGACTTTTTTAATTTTGTCTTTTTCTATTGTAAATTACTCAAATCTTCAAGTCATTTTTTGCCTCGGGAATCGGTTAAAATTGATACAAATGTGTGACATTGTTCATCAAGGCGTGAGGAGAAGGCTGCATTATCTCATTCTCCAGGGGATTTTTTTCTCCAAACATTCAGTTTGGGATCAGACCAATAATACACTCTGACTATAGGTCTGACTGTGAGTGTGAATGAGTTTTTTTGTCTCTTCCTGTGGCCCTGTGTTGGACTGTCCACGCTCTACTCCCCTTTTCCCAATGCTGCTGACTCCTTTTCCTGTTTGGAGTGACTCCAGCTCCACTCCTATCCTAAAAATGATGAAAGAAATGGAATGAAAAAGTAAAAGAAAATAATAGAAATAAAGAATAAACCCTAGATTGACAGGTGATAAACACAAAGCATTCACTTTTTAGGACTCTGTAGTCGTTGTTGCTGTCAATTCACTCAAAGTAATTATGATTAAATATTAAAAATGACAACCTTTGTAGGATTTATGAACCAGGATTAAGGAATTTGAACACATTGAACAGCACCTTTCTCAGTTTCCAAATTAAAATAAATTCTAATATTTGAAACCATTCCTCACACATGCGATTTGAATTTCAGGTTTTCCTTACACGTGCATATTTTCTTTAAAAAATATCTACTTCCAACTTTCCATCAACATCCCAGGAGAAGCTTATAAAATTGCGGTGATCAGAGTGAAACTCTAGCGGTTGTGTGGGTGTTGTTTGAAAACATCTGTGATTCTCAGGAAAGTCTGTGAGAACAGAGCAACAGCTGAAACTCAGACAGGACCAGTCAACACACACAGGCGTTTGCTTCACTGGAATTGTCTTCAACATGATTTTTTGTGTCTCCTAAGTTGTAATGTGTTTGTGAATCTTAACCTTTGATCATGACCTTTAGATTTCTGCGATGGTTGGAATGGTTAACAATACGTAACAAGTCAAAAAAAAAGTACACAGTCTGGTACCGATGGACAAGGAACAAACACTGAACTGTTTCTTCAGAAAATTACATCTGTGTTTTACATGGATGACAAGAGATTAATTGCTTAATTCATCTTTGTATTGTGTTTGCCAAACACAAAGTCAAAATCACATACACATGTGTGTTGATTATGGAAAAAATGCTTTGTTAGTCTTGAAATCACATTATTTAAAATTATTGCTCATTTCCTTTGGAAACAGATGGCATTTTTTTGCACATAATGAACTGCAAATGCAATATTTTTCTTTAAACCTTCCTGTTAAACTTCCCCCAAAAAGAACTGAAAGAATATTATTTAAATATAGCAAAAAAGTAAACACAAGTTAAAAAAAAAAAACGAGATAAAAAATATGTGTCTAGATAAAATCTTACAGCATAGATATAAATCAAATACAAATAATAAATGAAAATGAAGACTAGTCAGTGATAACCAGTGATAACCAGTGCTGTGAGGGTCAATCATGTCATTGAACCAGTGGGTCAGTGGGTGTTGAGGCAGCAGCATACTGCAGTAACCCATGCGTGTCTGATTTTAAAAAGTACATGTTCAACTGTTTGTCAGTGTGTCAGACAAATTAGTTTTGGCCAAATTTTAAATATGTGTTTTCATAATAGACAACAATATAAAGCACAGTTTTGCACTAGCATTTGTCATGACAGCATAATTAAAATATGTTAATGTAAGTTTTATTCAACCATTTGTGAAATATTAGTGGCTTCACAATACACATGTTGAAGGTTGAGTTAGCAGCTGAATATTGACATGACTTGACGGTCAACTTGTGGATACATGTATTTTTGACTGTGGTCTTTTAAAGCAGCAGCAGCAGCAGCAGCTTTGTTTGTCATCAGAACAGTGGCAGCAGCAGTGGGTTCTCACCACTGCACCCAGTGAGCATGTTTTTAAGTCTTACTCAGCATTCCACAACCAGGCCCAGTACTAACCCTACCAGCCTGTGCTGGGAATTGAAATAGGAATCATTGGATTGTTCACCACCAGTCCTTGGACGGCCCGGTTGGCTCACAGGATAGTTCAGTGTTGTTTTTATTGGTGCTACAATATAAATCAAGTCAATCCTTTTCCATTTCTACACTGATAGTGATGTGCCGTTCTCCAACCAGCTCAGGGAGCCAATTCTTTGTAGTGTATGAGAAGAGATGACTGCCAACGGGTGGAGCCAGATCAGCTGCTCCTGATCAGCTCTGCTGCTGATCCAACCCACACTGTCATCAGATTTCCTCACCCATCCTAACAGGAAAATTAATCTACTAACCGAAATTTGAACCGATAGCTCAGAGGTTCCCAACCGCTGTGCCAAGGTACATTAGTGGGCCATGAGAGAACATCAGGTCTACAGATCTCCCTTCACTGTTCAAATAACAGCAGAGGAACAATTAAAAGGTCTTCCACTAGGTGACAGCAGACGGCTAATTAATCTGTGTATTTACTTGTTGCCGTTCAAACAATAGAGGTTTTGATGCTTGGCCTCTGACAGCAGTGATGGCAGTGGATAAATATTTGAAAAGAAACGGTACACAATCCAACTGTGATGGAGACAATTCTGACCCAGATGAGGAGGTTGTTATACGTACGTCATTTCATACATGTACTGTTTGTGAAAAAGCTTATTCAAATGATCCGATATTCGACGTTGTTTCAGAATCCACCCGACTGCAGCGTCACTCAGCAGTGACGGTCAAATTCAAATGTTTACCACAGTAGTCACACCAAAAAGTCTCCTTCAGATCAGTATGGATTCAAACCGTTTCCATAGAAACTGTTTGTTTTTGTGTTCCTGTGTGATCCAGGTTCATCTTGGTCTTGAAGCAGATGGTCACATGACCTAACAGCTGTTACTGTTATCTAATGACATAGTGTTGTTGACGTATATACTGTAAGGATGTGTATGTCGGGGCACCTCATTTGTTTTTCTATATATAGAGCCAGTCTGCTAAATGTTTTTGAAGTGTTTTGGCAAAACCACATCATCTGGAAACAGTTATTCAGTGATAGATGAAAGTTGACGATTGGATTTCTACCACAGACAGCAGGAGAACATTAGAAAATACTGCACCCACCATTTCAACTTCAAGTTGATTAGCATTGAATCGTGCTTGTTCTGTGTACTTGTGTGCTCCGTGTACGTGATGTACAAATGTGATGAACATAAAAAATGTTGCCTGATTTTCCCTTTATTCCTGTTTTAATGAAACACTAGAATACAAACACACTACGTTTGTTTCTATTTTTCACTTTACGTGAGTGACAGAGAAACCCAGTTCCAGTAAAGGTTCCAGAGGTTCCTCTGACAATAAGGCAGACTTGGACTCTGACTGTTGTCCCGGAGTTGTTTCATCTGTCGTGTAATAAAAGTTCCTTCAGTTATGTTTAGTTTTTATTATTTCACCCTTTTCCCTGAACACAGAACTTCATTCTTCATTCTCTGACCCACTTAACTATAAAATGCTTCAAAGATACACGGTCTGGCTTCAATTACCACACCAAGATCTGGCACACAACATCAGAGGCCTCTATAAAGTCATGTTGGTGGTTGTAGATGTGGTTTAATACACACGGCCTTCTGGTACTTAATATGTTCACTTTGATGCTAAAGTATTTGTCTGGCCTAGATATTTTTATTTCTGGACTTTAAATGACAGAGAGTGTCACACATGTAGGTGGAGCCTTCAGGCCTAAAGCTCTGTTGTTATTTTTCCTTAGGATGGAGGCATCAAAACTACAACTTTCAAGTAGAGCCAGGGTGGAACAGCCTCCGGGTGGCAGGAGGCGAACTGGACAAAGATGCTGCCAGGATTCCCAGCATGGCCGCTGTTCTCCAACAGGGCGTGCTGTGACAACTCCAGACAGAAGTAAGACGGCTTTTTTCAATCTCTGTTTTGCCTGGTGAAAACTAAGTTGAAGTAAATCTGTCTAACAGCAATGGTTTTCTCACCTGGGACTGAGAAACGAAACTGAGTGTAGTATAAGATTAATTCCTCGCACGTTTCATTTGTCTCCCTGAGGGGTAAACTCGCACGTTTCATTTGTCTCCCTGAGGATCATTTGGTAAATTGAGGAGAGTTACACACACACACACACACACACCAATAATGATGCAGTGAAACTCAATCCTAAAACATTTCAGGTCTAGAGATAGTAGATCTAGGTGTAGCACAGTGGAAAACATCTTTAACCAAAGTTCAAAATCCTGCTAGTCATTTACCAAGTGTAATGCAGTTCAGTATCAGAAAAAGTTTTTTTTTTTTTTAACAAATGTTTATGGTTGCTGCAGTGATAATGAAAGTCATTTTATACTAGACACGTCTGAGAATGATGTGGTGGAGGAGCAGCTGTTCCGTTCTGTGGAGGGCCAGGCTGCCTCTGATGAAGAAGAGGACAAATGGACCAGAGATCAGCAGAAGCAGGTGGACGAGGTGAAGAAGATTCTGTCCAGGCTGTCCTGCTGCAGTGACAGGTGAAAAAAACATCAACATCACCACACATTCTAGATGAAGTTTGAATTTGAAATTGATTTACTGTCATTATGATAAAACGAAACGTGACCTCTGCCTTCAACCCATCACCTTAGTGAGCAGGAGGCCGGGGGGAAAATGAAAAACAAACAAAATTAAAGTCAATGAATTTCTTATAAGGCCTTTAGTGTAACTTCAGACAAACCTCTCATTACAAAATAATTCCCTCTCTTTTGAAACTGAAAGGCAAAATAACTTTACATAAAAGTACAAATACCAAAGTACAGGTGCACACAAACTTTTATTTGTGGTCAGAAAAATCCCAAGAACAACCAATAAGAATGAATATCTTTTGTGTGGAGGCATTTTTATTTATTATTTAAATAAAATATAAGTTGTTTTTCTCTTTTATTAAAAAAAACTGAATTATTTTAAGGTTCAGCCGTAGAACATCCATTTAATGTCCACACCCTTGGTGTTTCTGCAGACATGATTAAGTCTTAATTTCTCCTTTGTTTATTAATAGTCCAGTTTCTTTTTTACGTATTCTTCATCAGGTGTGACGACAAGGCGTTCAAGAAGCTCCTGTCAAATTTTGGGAGTTTGAGAAGTGAGGAGAGTTGCAGCGCTGTGGTGGAACTGCTGGAGAGGGTGACCCGACTCCAGAAACAGCTTCAGCTGAAGGAGAGCCAGGCCGAGGTGGACATGGACCAGGTACAGCCCAGGGCGGCCGACTCACACATTTATACCTGTGTGTGTATATACGACTGTACGTCACTGAACAAATCATCCTGGGACTGAAACACTGGTGTTACATCAGATTTGAGACTAGTGCTGGCACAGGCTGCTCTTCAGTGGTGAGAGCAGCAGCAGCTAAACCATAACTAGTGGTTTGATCTGTCATTTTCCACCTAACCAAACCACCAGTGTTGACTTCACAGTTTGGCCCGCATGTGCACAGCAACACCCCTAGTGGTCTTTCATGACACTCAAGAATAGCTCAAGTGAAAGCTCTGTTGTTACAGCTGAACAGTGTTTTCACAACACTGGAGGACGGGCGGACAGATGATGATGATGATGATGATGGTGATGATGATGTCATGTGACCACAGTAGGTTTTTTTTTTTAGACAAAAATAAACACATTCCTGACCGTGAGGCTTTGTTTATGTCATAAAGAGGTGATTTACTTATCCTTCAGTTGGCTCACACATAAAGGTGTACTCCTGGAACTGAATAGACTAATAACGGAATATGTGGTAGATGGTGGATGGATGGATGGATGGATGAAGGTCAATTATCATTCCTCGTCGTACTCTTAATCTGTGTCTGACCAATTACAGCTCAGTATTGGTCTTTTTAGCCTGTAAATCAGTGTTAGGATCAGATGTCCAGACTAATTGTAGCTTCATGTCAACCGTCTCTGCTCCCTCTCACTGACTGTTTCGATTTAATCCAATCTCAGAGACTTGGTCCCATTAGTGACAGCCCAGGTGTCTGTCCTTCAGTGAGACTGACTTGTGTTTTGTGTTTTAGATGAAGGACACGTTGGTGCAGGAGCTACAGCAGAAAGCCGACGAGACAGAGCTCCTTCAGATGCAGCTGCAGATGCTGGAAAACGAACGGGTTCGCCTGTCACTGGTAGAGGAAAAACTGGTTGACATTTTACAGCTCCTCCAGGAGCTCAGAGACCTGGTTAGTAATCACGCTGTCAAGCAACATGTTTAGATACAAACATACACCCAAACAACAAAGATAAACTTTCCTGATTTAAACTTTTGAAAGGGAGAGCATATACTGTACGTCTGAGTTTTAATAACAGCAAACTGTGATTAAATTATTGATTCAAAACAGAAACAGAAACAGGGGTCTTTCAAAGTTTCAACAGTTATTGATGTTTTTTAAATCTACTAAGCTGGGGAGTATTAATGGGGTTTTTGAGCTCTCGGCCGGGGCAGGCTGGATAAGACTCCGTGGTACAGACTGCAAAGAGAAATTAAACATGGTGGAGCACCACACTGATGAGAGAGTGAAGGGTTTGATTGACTGATTTAAAAGTTTACCGATGCCTTTCCTGATCAGTGTAACATCGTGGGTTGGTGTTGAACCGTCTGTTTTACACCATCTGATGTTTCGTCTGTCTCATTTCAGAATGTGTCACGAAAGTCTCTTGGGAAAATCTTGCTCAGCACTTTGGAGTCTTGCAGTGACCCACAACACGGTCAGTAGATTCATGTGTTGTCGTCTATGAAATGTTTTAATCCGTTGTCTGGCTGTATGTGACCTGACGTGTCCCTTTGACTGAACAGGAAAAGCTCACATTCTGGAGGTTCTTAATGCTCTCTACCATGAACTGGCCGCCTGTGAGGTTCTGTCTGTGGCTGAAGCTCCAGAGCAAACACAGAGCGATCAGTCTGTGAACGCTCTGGTCATCACCTGCTAAGCTGCGACTCATTGTGATGGCCAAAGAGGTTTCTCTTTAGAATGTCAAATGTTTGTATTTAGCAGGCTGGTTGGTGTATATAATGTGCAGTTAGTGTACTATTATGTTAGATACATACTCTTTAGTAATATTATTAAGAATATATATCCAGAGAATGCATTAAAAAAAGCATAAAGTCTTGATAAAAAAAATAATTGCACATAAATCTTTCAGTGATATTTTTTCTCATAACAGAACTCTGAATGTGAACTGTTGAAATAAGCTAACCCCTGTAGGAGTATAAGCAGCAGGAGGAAAAGATTAATCACTTCATTGAAATAATTATTGAGCATTTAGCTCCAGTATGTGAGACTGAAGTAAAAATACTTTATTTTTGTTTCTTCTTGTAGTTTGTGGTGCTACCTAAACAATATATAGCAGCTAATATGTTTTCATGATTATAAAAATAAACTAAAATGGTCTTACCTTTAACATTGGGGTCATTTGTACATAGGAGACAAAACTGTTCAAAATAGGGTTCAGGGTTTAAAGTGCATCCCTATTATATACCTAATCTGTGGGATTAGGTATATAATCCACAGGATTAGGTATCATCCTTTCTGAAATAAGAAACATAATTATTCCAGTCAAATCAGTTTCATTCTTGTTACTTTTTTAAAATCTTAGATACTAAACCTGTGATAGATGTCAGTGGACTTTGCAGTCTTTTGATATTACAGTCATGTCTGTAAATCAGTCTTTGTCATCATGCCGCTGCCAGATTGAAAAACAACATCTAGAATTAAGGATTAGATTTGATACTGTTGACTATGAAAATAAACAAACACTTTTTTTTCTTGATTGATTACTATTTGTGTCCTGGTTCTGCTTTTAGGTGATTGAACCTGTACTCCCCTCCACCAGTTAGAACTGAAGAAGCCTCTTGGATGAGAGGTGAAACGTCTTCTTTGAGAAAATGTCATGTCCAGTTGCCTAACAGAACTCTTCAACCTTGTTTGAACCTGCTACAGTTCTTTTGGTGATTTCTTCTTTTTCTGCACTGGTGTCCTCCCGAGGTCTTGTAGGGGCAGTGGTGGCTTGATGGTTAAGGAAGTGAGTCCATCAACTGCCAAGTCACCACTGAGGTGCTCTGAGCATGGCACCGTCCCCACACACTGCTCGCCTGGTGCTTAAGCTGTTCACTTTGGTGATGGGTTAAAGCAGAGGTCACATTTGGTTGTATACAGTGGTGAGTTGTGTCACAATGACAAGTAGTATTTCAGTTGTACCTTACACTTTTACTACTTCCCCCTGTCCCCATCCCCCTTCAAACACTCACACACACTTATTATTATTATTATTATTATTATTATTATTATTATTATTTTAAATGATCTACCAGTGTACTGGCCATATCTGGTTAGTGGGTCCCAACCAAGATACATTTTGGACAAACATTAAGTTAGATTAGTCTAGTTTCTTGTCTTTCTTTTCTTTCTTTTTTTAGAAAAAATAAAATAAATAATACATAAAATGTGAAAACTGTGCATTAGTTTATTCCTAAGGAATGTTTACAGGTACAAACCCTCTTCCATTCCACAACATGCTCCTGTAAATTGTGGTATTGTTCATTGCATTTTCCTTCCACAGTGTATGCCATTTTTAAAAGGATATTCAAATATTTGTTTAATTTAAATGTGAATAATTCCATCTTCAACATGCCTACAAAATTTTTTTGACATTTTTTCACGCGTTATTAAAGTTCCCAAGTTCTCGCGAGATGTTTTTGCGTTGCTTAGCGACTTGACGTAACCACAGAGAACCTGCAGCAATAAGTTTGATTCCTGCTCGGCTCTGACTGTAAAGTAGTATATTTTGTTTTCACCGTCCTCTCCAGTTTGTTCACCATAAAAACAGGTGAAGACTCCACTCAAAATGACTACGGTCGGCCCTCAGTCTCATTTCATGTTTGGTCTCCGAACAGGAGTGTCGAACAACGTGTGTTTCTCCGACGAACAAACTCTGGTTTTTCCCGCGGGGAATAATTGTGTTTGTTACAACACTGTCCAAAGATGTCAGCGGTTTATTCCAGGTAAGAACACTTTTGCTGAGTTATGAGAACTGGTTAGTGCTAATTAACTAATGAACCCTAATTTGTTTTACTGGTAAAATAGAACTAGCCTTAATATTAGTGGACGTCACTTGATTAAAGTCGTCAAGTCAAGCTCTTAAAACTTGCATTTTAGTTTATTGTAATACAGCCATTTAAGATTTTTTTTCACGAGCATAAAACTTTTAAAAACATTTTTAAAAACGTGCTCGACTGACTCACAGTACAACAACAGCTGCTCTCTAATAATGAGCCACACGGTGGCACTCTTTCTCCACTACAAAAATATCGGTTTAAACCAACGACGAGTGAATAGTTTACCGGGGATTATTACTGTAGTGGAGATCAAACAGGTTGTGTATTTACGGTAACCTTATTGGTCAGTTTGTCCTATTTCTAAGTAATGGTCGAGATGAAACCCAATGTTACCGTTTGACTTACTTTTCTGTCGATTGATTCTTTTCTTTCTCTTCTGTTGCTCTGTTTATTGATGTCTGCAGGTTCAGAGAGAAGTCTGGGAATGCATGCATTGGCAATTAGTGCAAACCGGCGCTACCTGGCGGTTTCGGAGCGCGTTGACAAGGCCACCATAACAGTGTTTGACCTGCAGCACGAGCAGGGCAGGAAGAGAAAAGTTGTGACTGCAGGGGAAATCCCCGTTGAAAGGTTTGTGTGCATGGCCTTTTCTTCTGACTCCAAGTATCTAATTGGCCAAGCAGCAGATCCAGAATGGACGTTGGTCCTTTGGCTTTGGGAAAAGCAAAAAATCCTGGCGTCTGTGAAAACCAGTACTTCTAACAACCCTGTCTCCCAGGTGAGCTCTGCAGTGACGACCTGAACGGCTGGTTCTGAAGAAGCTCTGTTGATGTTTTTAATGATATTTCTCCAGGTCAGCTTCAACCCTTACAACAACATGCAGCTGTGTGTGAGTGGAGCTGGGATGTTTAAGCTGTTTCACTATGCAGAGGGAACGCTGAAACAGAGCAGCTTCCCAAAGGTGGAGACCATCAACTTTCTGTGTCATACGTGGATGACGGCAGAGCGTTTGATTGCAGGGACGGACACTGGCAGGCTGCTGGTGTTTGAATGTGGAGAGCTGCGCCGAGAGATCAAAACATCCCCGACGTCTGAGCACGAGCAGACCGACAGGTGACGAGTTTGTCCTTATCATGCACTTTTTACATATCTATAGTAATTAATATCAGTTGTAGGGATGTCCAATATATTGTCCAAACATTTAATTTCCGATTCTGATGTCAACCAATACCGATGTAGGCCTGGTAATATTTATTTATCTGTACTATATAAATAATAAATATAATAATAATAACATAAATATATATAAATATATCATACACTGTAGGAGTGAGATTAATTAAATGACCTGCAATGCTGCCCTGTAGTGACTTGCACTTTAATATACAGCCGTTTATCTACAATACTATTTTTAGGACATCATTTGACAAAACCCATGCATTGCGTCAGCGGGTTGTCATTATAGGAGGAAAAACCAATAACGATTCTTACAGATATTACATAATATGCTAATATCGGGCTGATATTATCGGAGATCCCTAATAATAATAATAAAAACAATAACAACTTTACGCAGGGAACGAAAAAAAATACACCAATAAGCCCATGTTTACCTTTTGTGGTCACACCACTCCAGTAGTGACTTCTTTTTTTTTTTTTTTTTTAAACATCTAGGCAGGTGGGAACCAGGATGATTAAAAACACTCCTGTAGAAGAAGCCTCAACTGTCTGTCGCATCACTGCCATACTGTCCTACTCCAAAGGGTTCGTGTGTTCAATGGGCCCGGGCTCTGTGTGTCTTTTTGAGAAGACGGAAGAAAACAGTTACAGGAGGATCAGGGAAATTAAGGTGAAGAATTCACCAGGATTGAACAAAACACTGAAACATAACCAAATGGCTCCGCCTTCATATTACTACACACCACACACACGTCAACAGTGTGTTTTGGTGCAGCAGGCAGCTTTGTGCAGGATAACCTGTGATACTCTACATGTGTCACATGACAGATTCCTCTGGACCCACTCAGTGACGACGGCTCTTCAGCTGTCACTCAGGAGGTTTACTCCATGTGTCTCAGTCCTGCAGAGGAGACCCTGGTGGTCAACACAGACAGGAGACAGTTGTACAGCATCAGCCTGTCGGCCGTAGACGTCGCCAAGGTAAAAGTGTCACTCACCAAACACACCACCACTCTATGGTCATTTGGGGATTTTTGAAAAGATTGTTGAGAAGTTGTGAACCTGAACATTTTCTTGTGGGCACAAAGAGTCAAACCGTAACGGTGTTCTTTTTTTTAGGAAGAGCAACTACATTTTGAGTTTTTATCCCAGCCCTTTCACTCCAAGTCCATCACGGGATTATCCACTTGTCTTTGGAAGCCTCTGGCAGCCACCAGCTCCCTGGACTGCTCCATTCGCATCTGGAACTATGAGACAAAGTAGGATGACAAGATCCAGCCTACACACAATATGTTAATGTGTCTTTTACTCTTAGATTTATTTTCACTTCCATCTTATAGGGCATTTTTTTTAGGAACATCTTTGACAATTACCTGTTTTTCCTACATTTAATTTGTTTTTTATTTCCAGAAAATAAACAAGTAAACATAATTATATTGTATAAAAAGTAGGAAGATGTTTTTCCTCCGATAATGAAAACAGATAATGCGATGCCTGGGTTTTGTCAAATGATGTTTACCCTAAATATAGTTTTGGGGACAAACGGCTGTATATGAAAGTGAAAATCACTAGATGGCAGCATTGCAGCTCATTTAATTAATCTATTTCAATAATCAGGGTATTGTATGATAAGAATGCTGGTCCCACCAATTCATACAGTGGTTTGTACAGATAAATAAATAAATATTACCAGGCCTATATCGGTATCAGTTGATATTGGCATCGGAAATGAAGTGTTTGGAAAGGTTCGGCATATCGGATATCGGCAAAAAGTAGGAGGAGAGAATGAACCAGGTACAGAAGTGTACAGTATACGGTGGTTTGTTTCTCTGTGTCACAGACTGTTGGAGCTCTACAAGGAGTTCCAGGAAGAGGCCTACAGTGTGTCCCTTCACCCCACTGGTCTCTTTGTCCTGGTGGGCTTCGCAGACAAACTCAGACTGATGAATCTGGTCCTTGACGACATCCGCACATTTAAAGAGTTTAATGTCCGTGGCTGCAGAGAGGTGGGCTACATACAGTACGTGAAGCCTTTTTGTACAGCGACACCATGTTCTCTACTCCTGAACCTTGAACTGTCTCTCGTCTCTCTCACCTCGTCCCTCTTCAGTGTGCGTTCAGTAACGGTGGACACATGTTTGCTGCGGTCAATGGAAATATCATCCAGATCTACTCTGTCATGTCTTTCACCAACATCCTCACTCTGAAGGGTCACAATGGAAAGGTGAGTCGGAGGTGAGTCAGGACCAGGTGTGTGCTCGGTGTGTTGTTAACTAAACATCCTTCATTTTGGCAGATTAGTGCCATCAAGTGGAGTGTGGACGACAGGCGCTTGGTGTCCTGCGGGATGGATGGTGCAGTGTACGAGTGGAACACACAGAGCGGGAAGCGTGAGTCAGAGAGCGTCCTCAAGTCCTGCAGCTACACGGACGTGGCTTTTTCTTCTGACTGTACGACCACCTTGGCCGTAGGAAGTGACCTCACACTGAAGGAAATCCAAGAATATCAAGTCAGTAGAAACAGAATAGCAACGTTATTTCTCTTCATGCTAAATTTCGACTTGTGAAATATAATTTTTGTTTTATAAAAGTATGGTTACAACAGGTTCCCTTCCTCCAAATGTCACGTCTGTTTCAGTTGTATAGCCCAGATTCACAAAACATTCAGTTGTTTTTTGGTGCCCAGGTTCTAAGGGAGGTTCCTGGTGATGGTGTGGCTCAGACTGCCATCGCTGTGTCTCACTCTGGAAGGGTCGTCTTCACCGGAACCTCCAGTGGAGCCATCAGGGCCGTCAAATACCCATTACCCATACAGAAGGACTGGACCACACACCAGGCTCACTGTGGCCCAGTTTCCAAGGTGGGTCCTTGAAGTCTGCCGTGTTGTGACAGTGCTGATTTTTAAGACCTCTGACCTCCAACTGCACATTCTCAGATGGTGATCACGTTTGATGACCAGTTTCTGCTGACAGCATCTGAAGATGGCTGTCTGTTAATCTGGAAGATCATTGACAAGGAGGGTCGAGGACTGAAGAACAGTCGACACGTTATCCACACCAAAGAGATCCTGGTCACAAAGTCAGACCTGGAGGAAAAGGTTTGTCCTGGGTTATGTTGGCCTTTTCATGCTTCTCCACTCATCGTTCACCTTAAGAATAGCACACAACACAAAGTAATGTAGCTGTTGAAATGCTTAGTTTGATGTTGTGCGTGCGCATGTTGCAGACACAGAACATGTTGGAGCTGAAGATGCATCTGGAGGAGCTTCAAATGGAGAACGAGTACCAGCTCCGTCTGAAGGACATGAACTACAACGAAAAGATCAGAGAGATCACGGACAATTTTACGCAGCAAATTGAAGCTCTACAAACCACACAGCAGGTTGTACAGTACAGTCGCCCACACTGCTTTAGTCGGTGTTTCCAGTTGACACTGACGCCTGTTCAACAGTAAGGCTTAAAAAAATTAGATTTCAAAACAGTATAGATTCGACTACAGTGAAATACTATCAGATGCTTCGCCTTCTACCCATGGTTGTTATAAGGTCAGATGTGATTAGCTCTGATCTGCCCCCATAAAGGGCACAAATAGACTTTCAGAACAATTCAAATATAGCAAATGATTTTAAGTATAGCAAAGAAAATCTCTAATGAATCCAGTAATCCACTGACTAGTATAGCTGTGATCTCATTTAACTTTGCTGATACTATAATTGTATATATTTACAAATGTGTTAAAACAGTTCATAGATGAGTTTCAGTTTGTCATAATATTATTCCTCATTTCCTGTGCTTTTTTTTTATCATTTCTTACTGTCACTGTTTATGCAGGTGTTGAAGACAGAGATGGAAAAACAGAAGTGTGGACATCAGGAGAGTTTTGCGGAGCTTGCTGGAAAACATTCCAAAGAACTAGAGGACTTAGGTGAGAAGACCAGACCAAACAATGTCCCATCTGAACCTAAGGGAGTTTTTATCCACAGTGTTCACTGTTTTTATGCCGTACGTAGAGCTATCATATAGTCAAAAGCTAATCGTGGAGCACGAGAGGTTCCAGGAAATTCAGCTGAAGTTGGAGAGGATGCAGAAGAGCTACGAGAGTCAGCTCCAGTCTGCAGAGGACCACAGAGTCCAAGCCCTGGAGGACCTGACGCAGAGTTATGAAGCCAAGGTGCAAGAGAAGACTCAGCTCCTGGCTCAGGTCAGTCTGTGAAAAGGGCAGTGACAGAGTTTGAAAACTGCCATAAACCATTGTTTTTATAAGGATTCTTTCTCATCCAGTGTCAGGAAGATGCAAAACAGCAAATTCTGGAGTACAAAGAGCTCATCAGGCAGGTGGAAGAAGATGAAGACAAGATGATCCATAAAGTTGAAATCAAGTATGAGATGAAGCTCCTCACAGAAAAAGAGACCAACACCAGTCTGAAGGGAGAAAGTACAATTTTGGGCCAAAAGGTAGCAATGCTTTTTTTTTTTTTTTTACTAGCTAGGTTAGCTTAAGGCTAAGGCATTTTGTAAAAAAAAACTGACCTCCTTCCATCCAGGTCCTTGGTCTACAGAAGCAGATTGATGACAAGTGTACGGACATTAACAAGCTGAAACAGGAACGTCAGCGACTGTTGAAACTAATCCGCTCCCTGGAGAGTGACATTGACGATCTGAAGAGACAGATCGCTGGACATGAAAAGACCAATCAGGACAAGGTAACTTTGATCACTGTTTTACCCACTAAAGCAGCGATTATCAACTAGTGGCCCGCGGGGCGTGTTCCGCCCGGTGAAGCGTCCAGTCCAGCCCACACTGGATTCCAAAATAACAGTTAGCCAAAAATGTGAGTGTCTGTGCCCAAGGTTCTGTCCCTCTTAACTAAGTATGGTTAGTAACCCCTGCTGTACGTAAATATTTATTCTTTAAAATGAGTTTGTATAAATGATATAATTGTAATAGTTGCTCTAGGAAAGTTGAGACATCTCTCAAACATTGTTGATTTCTTACATTGTTCTGCATCTTCCTATTCCTGTTCAGGACAAGACAATCGCTAGCCTAAAGAAGAAGAATCAGGAGCTGGAGAAGCTAAAGTTTGTTCTGGATTTTCATTGTACCGAGCTGAAGAAACAAATTGAACCACAACAAGATGAGATCAATGAAAAAAAGGAGAGAATCCATCAGGTCTGTTAAGGCACCTTAACAAGTTACATACAGTACATATATACACAACACAAAAATACCAGGTTCATTTTTTTTAAATGATTCTGTTTTTGTATCTGCTAGTTGCAGGAGGATTTGGTACAAAGTGAAAAAAGAGACTCTCAGCAGAAGCTTGCTATGGCCGACTTGAGGCTCAAACTCCGGACCAGGGATAGGGAGTTGCACAAACAGATGCAGAAGGTGAGCCCCCATATTAGTCACTACTACTGGGATGTGCTTCTTGTCTTGATGTTACTCAAAGCTTGTCGTGACAAAATGTTCACCTAAATGTGTGTAACTATATTTGCAGGTGAAACATTTAGAGACTCATCTTCAGCGTTTCAAGTCAGACCTCCATAACTGTGTCGGCCTCATCCAACAGCCAAAAACACTCAAGGACAGTGTGCAGAGGATGTATGCATACTATGTATCAGAGGCCAAACAGGTGAGACGTCCAAAAAAATGCTTGTACTGCTCAGACTTCCAGCCTGCTCTTATGTTTCAAACATACTGTCAGAAATAAAGGAAAATGCAATTAATTCACATCTCCTCTAGGTGGAGAACAACGTTGTAGATGAGGATGTCCAGAAAGCTTTCTATTGCTATCGCGAGCATTTGGAAAAGACAGTCAGCAGTCTGAAGACAAGGCTGACCAAATCTGCTGAGGAGCATGAGAGAGCCTATGTCAGAATCATGAAGGTAATAACAACCCTTTTCTGCCCTTAAACGTCTATGGCTTTTAAATAGAAACAAATGAAGCTGCACCATGTTTCAGCTTAAAATCTATTTTGTTTTTAGTTATAAAGAGTGATTATGGAGCCACTAATCAGTTCTGAAAAGGCAGAAATCATTTTTTAAGCACAGATAAACAATTGTTGATAATACCTAAGATTTACCTCCATCATGGGGATATTTATTTATATTTGAAAAACTTAAAAATTCCAAAACAACATAATTTTTTTTTAGCAAGCCTTAGCTTCACATGATACTCCTTTGGTGTTCATTCTAGAAACCACTGCTACAGTGACTAATGTCTCCATAGGAAAATGTCACCCTGATCTCTGAAATCAATGAACTGCGGAAGGAACTACATTTGGTGAGAAGCCAGGCCAAAGACTACAAAGCCCAGTTGCTCACAAACAAGAAGGCCAACAAGTCACGTCCCAACTCAGACCAAGGTCTCAAAAAGGAGTCATGATATGAAACTGTCAAGTTGACTAAGTGTCCTTAAACTTCAGGAACTTTAAAGGCATTACTAAGGAATGAATTTAAACCCTAAAGCAAACTGTGTAAAAGGGAAACAAAGTTTCTTGGAGCTATGTATTTTCTGACATTGCTCACGAAATTGACCAATCATTGTCACTTACATAAGGTGAGTTGAGCTCAATTATTTAAAACAGTTATAACAGAAACCAAGGCTTCGTTTTAATTAGTCATATGTACAATACAATAATAGAAGAAACAACAAGTTAATTGATGATTATTCAACAGTTTGCAGACATTTAACAGCATCTTGCTTCAGGTCCAGGATTTGCATCTCAATCCTTCTGTGATATTCCTCAAGTGAATTTGACAGTTTATCGTACAGAATCTAGAAAGAGAAATTCAACAGGTCACACCAGGAGTGAACCAACAGTGAAAAAGAAGGAGAGTGTTGTGAGCACGTACCTGAGCCTTCGCTGTCTCATTGCTGCAGATCTCTCCCATGGTCTGGATCTTGGCCTTCAGCTGCTGGGTCTCCCTGTTGATCTCTTGTATTTTCTCAGCCATTTCTTCACGTTTCTGATGGATTTGGTTACACTCCCTGATAAGTAGTAGTTACAAGTTTAATCTGAGGGAAGCAGACTTAAAGATATCTATGAAGATTCTAAGTCGTCATGGAGTTCCGTTAGGCCACTGGACGTGAAATTTTCTCAAGAAGAAGTTTCACCTCTGTTCTAACTGTACAGCCGTACTCCCCTCCACCAGTTAGAACTTGGAGGAGGCACAACGTTTTCATGAGAAAATTTCACGTCCAGTTGCCTAACGGAACTCTTCAACTTAGACTTAAAGATACTTTCTTTTTAATTGACACAATTAACTAAGACTTTGGCCATTTAAACAGCATATCAAACCAAAGCAGGTCTTTGTGGAAATTAAGACTAGTGAAGCTTGCTGGGTATAGAAAGACATGAAATACCCCATAACATCCTGAATGTGCTGCTCCTTCTCCTGTCTCTTCTTCTGCATTCGAATGTTGAGTTTTGATACTTTGTCCAGTTTCATGCCTTGCGCTCGTTTCAGCTGCACTTCCTCCGCATACAGGTTCTTCAGCTCCTTCTGCTTCTTTTCATACTGACAGCTCAGCTTCTGTTGCTGTGTAGACACACACAAACACACTGAGTTATCAAATTAAGAATAATAAGCTTTAATGGTGTGAGAAAATAACAGATCTGCACATCAATTTTTAATGAAAATAAATCACTCTACTGTTTTGTTTTGCAACATGTAGATGGGCGCTGTTTAACACATCATTACATTCACATCATCAATTGACAGCGCATAAAAATAAATTAGTGTGGTGTGTGTGTGACACATACCATTTCCTGTTTCTCCTTGGTGGAGTTCATGCTGCTCTCCAGATCCTCTAACAAACTGTATATCTGTTGAATCTCAGCCTCAGTTTGAGTCACTGTCTGTACCATGTTCTGCAGCTCCACCACCCGTTCATCAGTTTCTTTCTAAAAGGTAGGACAAAACAAACACAAACTACTTTAGAGTCTGTCTGGTAGGTCAGTCTGACTTCTTTCTTACTATCATCCACTACTAACAAATGAGTTCTTGATGTTCTTGACGGTCTCTTTCATTTTCTCCATCTGGCTTTTGAGCTCCTCGGGAGACTCCACTATCTGTGACTTGAGTTTACTGATGTCCTCCTTGACGATGCTCATGTCCACCTTCAACTGAGCCTAAACACAAACAGGGAGAATTGTGTTAATAGATAAGTCATATCACCTCCCTAACGTTTCTCTTATAGTCATGTTGTAGATGCAGATTTATGGTTGTGGACAGCTTGCTATTTCTCCACCAAGCTCAACACTAGTGTTCTAACATAAAAGAGAACAACAATAATTAAATCCTTATTACCTTGGTAAGAAACGCTAATCACTTGTCTTAGAGTCGGATATTTTCATTCTACAAACGTCACAGTATTAGCTTGGTGACATCCATAATGATAAATGTATAACAATGCAAATGTCATTTAAGTACCGACTTCTGGGTCTTCTCAGCAATGTGGGCTTTCAGTTCAGCAATGCAGTCCTTCTTCACATTCTGAAAGGAGAAAAGTTTGTCCAAATTTTAAGCCAACTTGAATGGATGGCAGTTTTGTGGCCTATATCTGACCAATCACCTACCGCTTCCTGGTATTCATGCATGGTGGTGGTCTGGAGCTCAGAGAGTGCCTCTGCCAGCTCCTCAGCCTCCGCCTGCTGCTCTGGAGGGATAATGCTGTACAAAAACAGCAAAAGACAATTGTGTTTTTAATGTTAATCCTGATTGGAGAAATGTTTATCATACATAGTTCATTGTTGCTCCTTTTGAAATATAAAAGTAAAAGAAAGAAAAGTAAAATGCAATGATTTTTAATTCACTTCTTTTAGATTAGTGACTACTAATTTAGTGTCAATCTCATTGAAACAAATATTGTTAAATTAGATACATCAAATTAAACACAAATTTCAGAGGCTAAATAGTTGTGAAAATATACTATACCAATACACATTGGTCCAGACTTACCTCAGCTCCTCAATCTTCTTCTCTGTATCTCGGATAGCTTTGTTGTAGAACCTCTGCCTGTCCAGGTCTGATCTCTGACAACAGAAAAAAGAAAATTATAAAACATGTTGAACAACAACCACCCATGAGACAATTTACTGATTGTGTAGGAAACAGTATTTAAAAATGTAGATTTAAGATTAAAATGTGCCATTAGCACTAAGAGAAGAATGCACATGAACTAAAATAAAAAAACAAAACAAACATTAAATCACAAAAATTGGCCACAATGTCTGTAACCTTGGCTGGGATCGGCTAATGTAAACTTACAAATTTCGCCTGCTTCTCCAAGACCATTTCCATCCTCTGCTTCCTGAAGTGGATAAAGTTCAAGATCCCACTGAGAATAGTCAACGTCTTTTGTTTCTCTAAAAGGGAACAGCAAAAGTATATGACAGGTCTTTGAGGTTGTAAATATTTCTCCCACATCTTACACAATTTCAACAAGGCAAAGATACTTACTTGGTGCCAGAAGGTCACTAAGTGAGAAGTCATACACCATGCACATTGGCAGAAACTGTTTCCTAAAAATAGAAAAATGTAAATTGTACAAGTAGTAGTAAGTATTCTTATAGTTAGTCTTTAAAAAAAAAAAAAATTACAATCTTATTTTAGGACTTCGGCAGAGTTCAGACATATATATATATATATACATAAACACAATTAATGTGCAAATATTTATGGCATTAATTTTATTTTGCTTTTATTTCTTTTCTAGAGATTACAAATGAGATCCCTCTGTTCCAAACAGAACTCCAGAGGGATTAATAAAGTTCTATCTATCTAATTTCAGTAACCTGATGTTAAGCATGTAACAGCATTGTGTATTTACTACGCTGTGATTTTCAGCAAAGTAAATACCTGCAATTAAGTTGTTTAAAAAAAAAACTATATATATTGTCGTGCCTTTACTACAGTACTTCTCAAGTGGGGCGCGGCGAGGTGCCAGGTGGGGGCGTAAGGGGCTTCCAATGGAATATGGCACGCTGGACACAAGTGTACCACTGCTGTAATGCTTGAATGATAACAAGCCTCCAGTCACTAGGTGGCAGCAACTCATACAGTGGTTTGCACAGATAAAACTATACATGTTATCAGGTTCTCAATAGTATTTCAATTTGCGAGGGTGTGGGTTGGGGGGTGACAGAATTTAAATTGAGAACCACTGCTGTAGTACAGATAATAGCCCCTGTATTGTGATACCTATCGTATTACTAGAGTCTTGCCGATACACAACCCTACTGTTGATTTAACACAAATTACAAACTAATATTAAATAATAATAATAAAAAAGAAACCATGTTCAGTAACTCACATTCGAATGTAGACACTCAAAACAGAAGTTGTACCCTCATGATACTCTGGATATTGAATGTTCTCGTTGGGAGGAATCTGATGGAATACCACAGAATAATCATTTTCAATATGATAACATTCTTCACTGCAGTTTCTCACAAAGATAAATATATATATTTCTACCATAGAGTGACATTCCGGTCTGAAGCGATACAGGAGGTGAACCAATCTCATATACAGTGTTTGAACTGCCTCTGGCTAGAAGAGAAAAAAAACATTATGACCTAATTTAATTGTAATCATTGCACTTCACATTACATTTCTAAAGCTTTCTTTTCAACATTTATACATTTGGCCATGGGTCAATTCTAGATTTACAGAATTATCCGTTGAGGAAGGTTAATACTGACATATTTTGGTGCCTGCCTCCGCAGAACCGGGGTCCTAATTTGTCAAAAAGACACCATCGAAACAGCCCACGGGTGTTTTTATGTAATATTTAAAATATTAAAATATGTTTTAAAAAAAGTACCTCAACCTGTTAATGGCATATTGGAAAACGAAGGGGACATACAAAAATAAGCTCGATGCAAATACGTCATAATTAACATTTTGTGGGGGATGGGAGGGTTCTGAAACGTATATAAAATTTCCTTTTTACTTCAAATAATAGGTCAGACTGGGATTATTTAGCTTTTGCCTGATTTGGTTATAACATAAAACATGACTGTGTCTCTGGTCGTTCTCAGTAGAAGTAAACGAACGTTACCTTGGGCACTGGAGTCAAGTCGTTCTTCGTAAAGTGTTTAGCTTCCTGGCCTGTCAGAACTTCAGTTCGGTAAAAGTTCACTACAACATCCACGCTGTACACTGGAAATGTATTTTCAGTCATTGTGGCGACGGCAGAGACAAACTGGAAAAGAGAGGAGCACGACACTAACAGTCTTCGTCAAACAAAACTGGCGCCTTCAGAAAAAAAAAATCAAGTCTTGTTAGCTCCGCGTCTGATTGGTTAGTTTGTTCTACGTCTGTTGTGACAGAAACGACAAGATTTCTTACTTTCGCCCCCTGCCGTACAGTTTAAATTTAGACAATTGCAGCAGCAGCAGAAAAAAATTAAACATTTAGTAAAAATAGATTAATGATGAAAACTATTTCAGTAAAACTACTAACTAATTGATCACAAAAACAATATTTTTGTTGAACCTAAGTAGCCAATTTGGAAAGCTTTTATACAAGGTTTAAATGTAAAGTTCAAATGTGTTTTTATAAAGAGAATTTCTTTGTGGAATATATTTGAGCTAATAAAATCATGACATAGTACGTACATGTGCGCAAAACAAATTATTCTGAATTATTATGACCCTTTTCGTGGTAACCATGAAGGTACTGTAATTGCTAGTATTGTTGAAACAAGGGATGTAATGGTACGACGGAATGACGTCAAATGACGGCGTTGTTGTCGTAAACCATGACAGTTCACGTGACAGAACAAGGAAGTTCTCTTTTTAAGACGGGTGTCACCTGCAAGGTTTTGTTTTGTGCTTATGAACTGTTGAAAGATAATGGCTGTAAACTGGGCCGAAAGGGTCTCTGCTTTCTCTTGTAGACCCTCTCACTTTCTGTCGGGAACAAACGCGGAAGCCTTTCTGGCAGAGCTGCTCCGGGAGCTCCGAGATGACAGAGCCAGCGACTCCGTAAAGGTTTAGACATCCGTTTATTTATTTTATGTAATATAATTAATTACGTTTTAACAATGTGCATATATTCATCTGCTGCACATGTTTCTGTTGAGCGTTACTTTAATAGATTATTTATCACTTGATAGAATTAGTTAATATTTCAATATTATTCTCTAATAATTGCTCGAATCTCTTTGTAACGTATCATGTAATGTGTCCCTCTTTCTCAGGTCCTAATGCTGTTTCCGCTATGCGAACACCCCTCACTGCTCTGTCCGTCAGACTCAATCGGTGAAGAGACAGCCTTGGAACTTATGTCAGTGTTTTTGCAGTGCCCTTCCAAGTCTTTACAGTTACGCTGTCACCTCCTCTTGGCCATTACATCTGTGATCGTGTGCACCTCGTGTGTGAGCAGCCATACCCCTGTTTCTGTGGATTTTATTGACCTGCTCCTCCAGTTATCCCAGAATAATAGTGACGTTTTCTGTGAAAGTTCCCCTCAGTCTATCAGAAGCATAGCCTGTGACTCTTTGCGAGAGCTGGAAGCCTGCTGTCCAGGTCTTCTCTTTCAGCACATTGAGCTCTTAGGTGGACTGAGGCAGCAGGAAACTACCCTACTGCACCAGGCCTATGCAGGACTTTATGTTCTAGTGCTGAGGAATGCTGTGTACCAGCTGACTCAGGAAACCGAGGCTGGTGCCGAGCACCTTAAAGCTCTTTTGGGGGCAAATGCATCCATTACCTGGGAAGCAGATCGGTTTTCATGTCTGGCAAATAAAAGGGACCTTAGTGTGCTGTCATGTCTCATTCGTGGGCCCATGGGTTTTGTCCCAACCCTCAAGACTGGACCTGATTGTAAGGAGTTGCGATCTGTTTTGTCCTCCCTCTTAGAGGAGTCTTACCTTCTAACCCCACTGTGTCAAGCTGCAATGCTACATAGATTGACAGAAGTGGTTGCCATGGTGCCTGGTGTCCACCCCGCCATATTCAGAGCTCAAATCCTGCGACTGCTAGGCACAAGCCAGGTTTGTTATTTCTTTTTGTAATTCATTTTACTCAAACTCACATCCCCACCAAATGATTGGAAGTGCTATTGAATATTGTCCTAGTGTAAAATGGCATCTCATTTTAAATATACATTTTTTATACAATGACATACTGAGAATTTGTGACTTACCATCCTGACAGGTTTGCCTCCTCCACACCACTCTGCTGATGAAGTATGTGTTCACAGACAGCCTTTTTAGTGCCGAGGATGAAGCCTTCATGCTCAAACGACTGGTCGTACTTGCCCAACATCCGCTGCTGAGTACATCTGAGAAGCTTTTCTACATGGATTGCATGCTGCACTTCCCCGAGAATCGACCAATCAGCTGTAATGATGGCGATGAGGCACTCCCTGTGCTTTTGACTCCTCAGCTAGCCTCGGTTCTTTTGCCCACCGTGTTGAATGAGAGTTTCACCATGCTCGCTCGATTCAACATGATGTCTCTGGTGTATCTGGACGAGGTCGAGGGAGGTGAGGAGGGAGATGGAAAAGGACTGGCCTACCTCAACGAACACCTTAACTCACTGCTGTCTATCGTGAGAAGTTGTGCCAGCAGAGATGTTGTTGTCGCTTTCTTCAGGGCTGCCTTCCTGTACCTTATGTACTTCTGCCATATCAGGGGCTACTCCTGCAGTCTAATTGAAAAACTCTGTGAGCTCTACCTTCATCACACCAAGCTGGCACCGCACCTTATCACCCTGATTAATCACATTCAGAACATGTTCCCTGAGTCTGACTGGGCTGAGGACCTCCTTAAAGCTCTGCAAAGAGCCATAACACAATCACTGCTTGATAAGCTGACGTTGCAGGATCTGCATTTCCATCTCAAAATGCTGGCACGAATAGCACAGGAAGCAAAAATTCCCCAGGGCAGCACTCTGAAGTTTCTAGCTGACATCATCACCTCAACTTTCTCCACACTATGCACAAGTGACTGGTGTCTTGGTAACAGTATTTTAGAAGTTTGCCATCGTTTACTTCTTCACCCGAGTCTTGAAACTATGCTGGTTCCTTTGGCAGATGTCCTGCAGCATCTTGCCTGCTGCTATGGAGACACTGACATCCAGGATCATGCCTGTCTTTACTATGCCCTGCTCACCACACTGTCACGAGAGAAGCTGGGTGGTGTTTTCACACGGGGAAAGACAGAGGAAGGGCAGCAGGTAAAAACACGAACACTTTCAACCCTAGTGGCTGAAAGTGAGGGGCTTACAAAGATGTTGACTGTCCAGCAGTCGCATGAAGCTGTATTCAGCCTAAACAAAGTCAGGACTGAAATACAAGAAACTAAAGCAGACGCTGAAAGTCACGTGCACAGTACTCTGGGCGAAGCCAATGCAACACTGGAAGTCTACAGAGCTCAGTTCAAGGACCCTGACTTTGCCTCAGAAATCATTCTGAATTACCAAATGGATCACATTAATGGCCATAACCCTTACTTTGAACAACTATTTAGCATCCACTTGCACTGTAGCCTCACAGATGACAACTTTGAAAAGATTGATGACATCATCATACCATATCTCTTCAGAGACAGACCTTCACCGGTGGTGAAGTTGAGAATGAAGCCAAGGCGACCATGTCCCACCACCCTCCAAGTCACTGCACTTTTTACTACTCAGGATGGACTCTCTTGGCACACAGTATTGCCTGACATTCATGTTGACTTCCAGTACATCTTCATACCTCTGCCATCTCCCCAAGGCTGGGGAAGGGACAGCAAATGCCACCTCTTTGAACAATTATGGAATGAGTTCTGCTTAGAAAGTGGCGACTCAGCTTCCAGCCTGTTTTGCTGTCAAGTGAAAGTTTCCCTTGTCAACATTGTGAACAAACATTTATCTTCCTACCTTATTTCAGACATGTCTCAAGAAGAAGAGTATAAAGTGCTTTTCTTTTTTCCTCCACAGTTTCATGTATTGCTAAGAATAAGGTCAGATGAAGAGAACAGGGTACACTTTAAAATTGCCACAGACAACTGGCAACTTCTGCATAACATTAGTTCTTTTCTACAGTCAATCACATCAGCAAAAGAGGACACAACTGAATGATGCATCTAACCATTTCTTTTTTAATTTTGAGGTAGATTAATAGGTTGATTTTAAGTCATTCAATTTGTAAAAACTTTAAAATATATTTGAAATAAATAAAACTTTAAATGTTCTTTGCTTGAAATGACAATGTCTCAAATTGAATATTTGCATCTTCGTTTAGCAGATACAGTCAAGAAAGATGTTTTGACTGTTTAGAAGTTTATTTATAACATCTGAAATAGAAAATCAAAAATCTCACAACCTAACACATCCCACATCCCTACATCCTAATATTACCTCATCAACTGTAACCAAACTATTTCACTGATTAGCAGTGACATTACAATGTAAGCATCATAGCAGCAAAATGGTAGCTGAGAAAAAAATTTGACTTTTTTTTAAATAAAAAACAATACTCCAAACCAGAGACTGACTTTTTAAAAGCTTTAAATTGTTTAGTAGTTAAAGCCTTAAACATGTCTTTTCCTAAAACAAAAAATTGTACTTTAACTTTGTCAATTCCAACAAAGGCGGTGACTCAGCCTTAGTCAGTTTGCATGCAAAATGTAACTGAACCTGTCTCCAACTTTAAAGTAATTGATTGAGGTGTGGGTTGTTTTTTCTAAAAATGATGTCCAATAAGACTCTGCTTAAAATGTACACTGTCACCTTCATGTATATAAACCAAAACTAAAATCCTTTACCCCGAGAGGCCTTTGAAATTTGGTTCTGTATTACTAGGTAGAGCAGTCTGCTGGCTCAGAAGTTTGTCCATGATGGCTAACTCTGCATCTCTCTTTTCCACCTCATCCAATGGCGTCCAGGACATGTCATGCTGCAGTTTGAAGCCTTGGACAAATTGGTGCGGGCAGTTAGAGCCCCAGTCCTACAAAGCAGATCATAAAGAGGTTTTGTCATTTCAAATGTTGGGTAAGTCATATTTCTGTATTATTTGCTTATTCCTGTAACCTAAAAGTGAAACTGCTATAGTTACATTTACCTTTTATGTTGAATACACATTGAATGCAACATAGCATCTTTACACCAGTTAAATTATACTTATTAAGAAGTAATAATATGTTATGGAAAGGTATTTTGCCAATCCTGTTTACATAGGGTTTTAGACAGCATGACACTAACCTTGGGGGAAATAATAGAGAAGTACTTCTGTCCTGATGGTCGCTGGTAGAGGTAGTAAATGTTACCCGGTTTTTTCACTATGTTACAGGCTGCACCGTGGAGATCAGCGTCTCTTTTAGCATCTTCCAAAACCTTTGAAAATAGGTTTAGACAAAACAGAAACATGTTCATCTGACAATACCATTTCTTTGCTTACATTGTTTAAATCTCTTAGTACGAATATACAATTCTTAAAAAAAGTCCTACATTATATGTAAGTGGCATGTTCTACCTGAGTAGAAATTGTAATATTTTAATAAAGGGTTCTTACTTTTCTAGCCTGTTCTTGTAAATATCTGATTTGATCAGCAATGACTGTCAGTTTGTTGCAAGCATTTGCTTTAACAAAGTCGTTCCCCTGAAAAAAAAAAGAAAAAATTTAGAATCTTTATAGTCCTGCACATTAATCGTATAGTTTGAATATGAGCTCAGTTCCTACCGTTTGTACTTGTGCTGCCAGGGCCACCAGGTCCATGGGGTCTCCTGCTCTGTTGGTTTGATAAGAGCTAACTAGTTCCAGGCCACCGGGGGCACAGCTGTTCTCAACCAGAGTCACTGCACAAACACGAGCCGGGTTACGTCACAAGAACACATAAAACTGTTCTTAAGCCGTAGATCACATCAAAATCAGACAGTAACTACCCCCAAAATTACAGATGAAACAAAATAAATTAATTATGCAATCCTCATCATTGACCATTCGCATGTTACCAAACAGTAATTGAAAAAAGGCATATCTGGTCATTTACCAAATATTTGGTAACTTCACCTGTAGTTGTTTTGTCAGGTTGACTGGGGAGACTCACTGTCCTGTCCATGGTGATTTGCTGTACACTACAACCCCTTTTTTTCACAAAAATTAATCCTATAACACTAACACCACAGTACCTGAAATTACAGCAACTTGTGTAAACACCAATAAATACCTCAGGTTTCGAAGGGTCCAAAATCTCCGCCCATTTTGCCCTGAATAGCAGTCCTGGTTTTGCCTGTACAAAACAATAAAATAAGACAAAATTTGATTAACGCTTAGTTTTAAAATAAAATGTTATTAACATGTCGTTTAACGGTGTGACAGTTTAAAACTAGCATGTATTGATTGTATTTATTCAGTCAATGTAATTTCGTTTTAATTCACCGGCAAGCGGACGACAGTCTTGTGTCGTCACAGATGTTAGGATCTTCTAAGCAGTAAAAAGCTTGCTTTCTTCTTCGCTGTTAGAGTCAACTATTCTAAGTTGATTCACAGAAGTACTGAATAACCAAAATATATATTTTATTTCGAAAAACGCTGGTATATATTCTCCATTATCTATAATTGTTTTTACATTTTATTCTCGTTATTATTCTTATAATTGTATTCGGGCACATTATATCGCACTATGATTTTTATTTAATAAAGAGTACCCCTTAAGATCACCCATTAGAGCGTTCTAACCCCGGATAAAATCAAGCGTAGCAAACATTCAAATCGGGGCAAATAATTTCATTCTGATATACAGAGACTAACCAACAGTGAGCTGCCGCTGCGTGTACAGAGTCGGGGTGAAGGGGGCGGGGTACAGTCGCGGCTCATCCTCACCTTCTAACTAAGTCGCAGGAAGAAGTACTTTCTATGTTCCTCCTTCTCCACTAGTTCTTTTACCATCACCCTCTGCATGACTCGGAACCAACTGTGGCATCATGGAGCTCGGTTACGCGCTTATAGCAATGGGTCTGTTTTTGTCTTTTTGCGCATCAGACGGTGAAATGAATAATCGCCGACTTCTGGAGCCCTATGATTTTCTCTTCGATACGGCTGTGGAAGCCTATGTTAAGGGAGATTGGCTGACGGTGATTCTGAATATGGAGAAGGCGCTGAAGAACAAAGCTACGGTCCGCAATGTCAAAGCTCAGTGCCGGCTCACCTGCGCAAACTACACCACTTTCGGGGAACCCGTGGCCGACAGCGGTATTCCGATACCCGGAGCCGGGTCTGTGGAAGACCTGGGCTTTTTCCAGAAAATCTTAAAACGAGCGGACTGTGTAAATTCATGCGAAGCTGAAAAGCTCGGGTTGCCAAACATGCACAAAGTCAGTGAAGAAGTAGAACTGGAGTTTAAAAAGAGGACCCCATATAATTACTTACAAGTCGCTTGATTCAAGGTACCTAATGTTGTTGTTGTTGTTGCTAATGTTAATTGTTGTAATGCTATGTGTTCATATGAAGCAAAGACAGTTACAGATGCACGATTTAAGGCTGAAAAAAGGGCACAATTACTTTTTATTTCATTCAAACTCTGGCAAAGCTGGCTACAAACACTACTACTACCACGGACACGGCCATGCCACGTCTTAAGGTGGAGTCAGTCTCTACAGTCTGACGTTTAAACGTTGATTACTGATTTAGGTCGACTCGGTCTGCCAGAACTTACCAACCCCAAACAAAGAGCAAAATTTTAACATTTTGGTTTTAGAGTTCAGCTCGGGGTTTTTTTTAGCACCAAAATGTTTTAATATTCACTTTTTACTTTGATTTATACTCTTTGTACTACAAAATACAGGGTTGAACCTGAATTTTGTGGGCAGCTTTTCAAACAGAGGCACAAAACAATGGATACGGTACAGGGAGAGTAAAACATATTTTCCGTTATAAAGCACACTTACAGCCACACAGCATTGGTCACACGAAAGCTGTTCACAAACATTAGAACAGGTATATGGACACTTACTTTTCACGTGAAAAAAGATGAAACACTATTATTGTCATTGCCAGCACATAGACTTGTGTAAGGATTCTAATTGAGCACTTTTTGAATTGTAGTAACATAAAATAGAATATAAACGTTTCATATCATTGAGACAGTGCTTCATTTAGGGATAGCTGACACTTTATTGACATAAGTGGCTCTTTCAAGCTTCAGGAGTATAACTTTTTTAACGTGAATGTATGTATGAGTTAGAACACCAATACATGTTACTTACAACATTAGGATTCATATTATGTTGGTTATATCACACCAGTCATGCTGCAGATGTGTTTTTTTTTTTATGATAACCTTGTTTGTTTGTTTTTCAGATCAATAAGCTGAACAAGGCAGTGGCAGCAGCTCATACTTTCTTCCAGGCCAACCCAGATCACACAGAGATGAGACAGAACTTAGAATACTATAAGATGATGGCTGGTGTTCTTGAAGAGGACTTTAAAGATTTGGAAGCCAGGTCACATATGGTGAGAGCAAACTTTTGTCAGTAAAACTTTATAACATGGCTACACAAAAGCCCTAAGCTGAGTTAAGGTTAGAATTACATTTAAGGTTCGGTCGTTGATCCTCATAAAGGTCTCTAATATAACGGTAACCAGCAGATTACTAACTTGTAATGAAGACAAATTAATATATTAAGTTAACCAGAGGATGACTTTTATTAATTACAGTACACAAATGGTTTAAAAGCATGTTCAAACTAATGTTAAAACGAATGGGAATGTCAACATTTGAGGTTAAATGTGTTTTTACACATTTAACCTCAAATGTAACTTAACTATATATTTAACTTTACATACTGGATAACTTTGAGCAGTGGTTAGGGGAGTTAGTGGGTGGGGATGGCTAACTTCAAAGAGTAATGTATAGCCTGAGGAAATTCCCACAGGGAAATGTGAAGCATAGCATTAAAGCTTTTTTTCTTCTTGTATTCTCTTGCAACAATACATTAAAATACACTATTTTTTTTTCTCAGGCCAAGTTTTTACAAGCAAAAAGTTTTTACAGCCACGAGTCCTTTGGTCTAGCAGCTGAACAGTTTGAAATGGCCGTTGATGAGTACTTCCCAGCGGACAATGAGTGCAGGGCTCTCTGTGAAGGAGCGTACAACTACGATGGATACAACTACATGGAGTACAGTGCTGACCTGTTCCAGTCCATGACAGGTCGGTACTTTTGTGCTAAATGTCACTGATGTATAAGCTGAGTCTTTGGTGGTTATTTATCTGGTGTTCTAATGTGATTAAATGTGTGTGTCTGTCTGCGTGTCTCTCTGTCCGTGTGTGTGTGCTGCTCGCTAGATCACTACATGCAGGTACTGAACTGTAAGCAGCACTGCTCTGTGGAGCTGGCCTCTACAGCCGGCAGGGACAAGCCCTTTGAGGATTTTCTCGCCTCACACTTCGACTACCTGCAGTTTTCCTACTATAACAGTGAGTCTAACAGGCTTTATTAATTAGACATACATCACCGTACCAAGTGTTACATCTCAAGATCTCCTGCAGTTCAAACTGATTCATGAATCTTTTATTTTGTCTGCTGACATGTTAAAATTGACAGATTTTCTGTCAGATATAATAATGGATCCCTTGTCTGACTCTGTTCTCTGTTGCCAGGTGAGAAGTATGATAAGGCCATAGAGTGTGCCAAAACCTACTTGTTATTTCACCCTGATGATGTAGTGATGAAACAGAATCTAGCATACTATTCTGTTGTGCTGGGAGAGGACAAGGCAGAAACCATATCAGCCAGACAAGTAAGTCATTCAACATGAAACTGCTTAAAAACTGATTTCATTATAAATGTGTGCAGTGGAGGTGTGTGTTATTATTCTGAGTGATTTGCAGAGTGTCTTCTTCTTCATCATCTTTTTGTTTTCGGTTACATTTTATTTATTTTCTTTATCCAAGGCCTCTGTTTATTGTTTATTTTCAGTGGTGCAGTAGCAGCATTCTGTTGCCAGTACACACTGCCCTGTTGTGGTGTATATTTTTGATAATGTCTGGAATATGTTACAGGACCAGCAAACTACTACAAAAAAGGGGAACGTCAAGTCAAAATAGTTTAAGAAATTTGTGAATGACTTATTGTTAACATGAAATCAATAAATGTCTTCTCTATCACAGGAGGTGAAAGGGTACATCCAGAGATCCATCTTGGAAAAAGAGCTGTTGTACTTTGGATATGAATCATTTGGTATTACTTTTGTGGACCCAGTGAGTATAACTGTTTTCTGGTTTATATACAATAGGGCAGAGGTTTTCTAAGTCTAATTTTGTAGTTGTACCTCTAAGGAGCAAAAAAACAAAATACACACAAAACGTTTTTAAATAGTACACACCTTTTTCTTACAGTGGTAATGCCATTCTCCTATCTTACTGTACTGTAAACAATTGAAGATGATGCTGATGATGATAAGTTGCTATCACTCTGTGTTCAGGACACATGGACCCCTGCTGACGTCATGCCCAAGAAATTGAGAGACAAGCAGAAGTAAGATAAATATACATACATTGTAGGAGATCTTTAGCCAATGTGATGATCATGTTCACCTTTATATTGCAGAGCAGAAAAAGAAACTGCGGCGAGGATTACACAGGAAATTGGAAATCTAATGAAGGAGATCGAGACTCTGGTTGAGGAGAAAAAGAAAGATTCCTCAAATATGGCCAAGGTGATAGCTCCGCAAGGTGGGTAACAGTGTGTGTTGGACATACAGGTCGTCTTTCTTTAATGTATTTGAGTATGCGAGTTATAATTAGTAACTTTCGTCTCAACTCCTCTAGATGGTGCTGTTTTATATGATAATGTCAAGGTAACGATGACATCTCAGCAGTTGAATGGCTCTCAGCGGGTGCTGCTGGATGGACTAATCACTGATGATGAGTGCAAGGAGCTGCAGCTTCTCTCCAATGTGAGTCGACAGTGTGACATAGTAGACCTGCCACGATTGCCAATAAGCAGTGACAGTACGTTCACAGTAACGTCAGTGGTAATCAGACTGTAGTTTCTTAGTCTTTCATGTATAATCAGTTTGTGGTATAGATTATAAATATTTCAACAGGTGTTTAATTGTTTTAGTTTACTCACAGGAACCATGCAGCTCTCTCTTTTCTTTAGTTGTTAGGGTAGCCATCTGCTTCCACCTAGTGGAGGAGTATTTAAATGTGAACATGTCTTTTTGGGGTTTTTTTTACACATGTTTTGTCAGTTGTTGGTTTTGAGTGATGTGAATATTTTTCAGGCTGCTCAGAAAGGTGATGGCTACAGGGCGGGACCTTCTCCTCACTCACCCAATGAGTCCTTTCAGGGTGTCACTCTCCTAAAAGCTGTCAAGGTCTGTCTTTTACCACTTCCAAAGAATTTAAGTTTGATTAAAATCACTTTTGACGACAGTGAAATTAAATTCAAATGTCACATCCTGTAGCTTGGACAGGAGGGGAAAGTTCAACTGAAAAGTGCCCGTCTCTTCTTCGAAATAAGTGAACGGGTGAAGAAAGTGTTGGAGTCGTACTTTGCCCTGGAAACTCCACTGTACTTCGCCTACTCTCACCTGGTGTGTCGCACGGCCATTACTGGTGAGTCAGTGACTGTAATATTACTGTACACTGCTGTTTTATATCTGTTTGAGAGGAAGAGACCGAGACTGAGATAGCCAGAGATGTAGGAGATGTGTTTAAGTTTTACCTTTGTCTTCATATTGTTCTACTTCAGAGAAGCAGGCAGATCGAGAGGATCTGAGCCACCCTGTTCACGTGGACAACTGTCTGCTGGTCTCTGAGCTCAACGAGTGCCTAAAGGAGCCTCCTGCATACACACACAGAGACTACAGGTGAGCACAATACACCGTGAAGCCTTCAGAATCACCCCTTACATCAGAGCCTAACATCTGCATTCCTCTACAGCGCCATCCTCTACCTCAACCAGGATTTTGAAGGAGGAGATTTTATCTTCACTGAGCTGGATGCCAAAACTGTTACGGTAAATGTTCTCTCTGATATTTCTGCATGGAGGCAGGAGTATTTAGAGTCAATCTATTAATAGTTTTGTTTAATGTTCTGGACTTCTCCAGGCTGAGGTGCGCCCGCAGTGTGGCCGTGTGATCGGCTTTGGGGCAGGGAAAGAAAACCCCCATGGTGTTAAAGCGGTCACCAAGGGTCAGAGGTGTGCTGTGGCCCTGTGGTTCACGCTGGATCCTGCTCATGAGGAGAAGGTTTGGAGAATTTTCCAGAATATTGTCAAAAGTACATAGCCATTTCAAAAGCTACCTTGTCCAAAAATTAATTTTTGAAATTAAAATTATTTCGCAAATATGTGTCCTGACAGTAACAGAAATAGGCAAAAAAAGAAGATAAAGGTAAAATTTGTCAGAAAGGATAAGCTTTTGAACCAGGGAGAAATCTATTTCAAACCACACATTACTATGAATCATTACAAATATTCTTTTCAAAGGTCTTATTATTTTGTTCCCTTGGCTGGATGCAAACTTGACTGCCGTGCTTTTATTTTTTTAAGATAATTAATAACATAATTGCAAAATGCACCACCAAACTGACTTACTAAATTAACATAAAAACTAAGTTTCAAATAATGATTGATTGTCCACAGGAATTGAAAGGAAATGAGCACTTTCTTTGTCTTGCTTGAAAGTTTCCAGGAAATACACACCTAGGGTGGATAAAAAAAAATCAGATTTCCGGACCTACCTCCTGCTGTGGTACAAATCGAGTTTGAATAGACCTTTTGTGTTTGGCTCTGGGTCTGTTGTTTACGTGACTCACTGGATTATTGTGCCTTCTCTTTTCATTGAACATTTCCCCGGTAGGAGAGGATCCAAGCTCAGAACATGCTGGAAATGTTTTTAACACCAGTGAACGCAGAGTTCATCAAGAAAGAGGCGACCCAAACATCAGCACCAGAGGCGTCTGGACAACCTGCCCAGGACACAGCAGACAAAAATCAGGGTGAAAAGGCAGCCGAGCAGAATATAAATAAGGACACTGACAAAGTAACTGACACGCCAGTGAACAAAACACATACGAAACCAGTCAAAACAACCAAAACCACCGCCACTAAAGCCAAAGGTGCTGTGAAAGCAAAAACAAAGACTGGAGAGCAGGCAAAGGACAAGGGAGCAGGAAAAGATAAAGCCGTTGTTATGAAAGGTGGGAAACAGACAGGTAAACCACAGGCCAAGAAGGCAGAGAAGAAGGACGCAAAGGCAGCTGTTAAGAAAACTGTAACTGACACCAAGAACAACAAAAAAGCAAAAGCCGATGACACTGTGACGTCAGACTCTCACAAAGACAAAGAAGAGCTGTGAGGAATCCTGTTGGTTTTATTTAAATATTTCCCTTCTGAGGGTTACGCGTTGGTTTAGGATCTACACCAACATCTAAACTCAACTTAAGATCAGTGATCTTTACTGTGCCGTGAGACATCATCAGATTTACCCTTTATTTACTGCTAATAATTTGTCTTTGTTCATCCATGTGACAATGACAGGCACAATGATTAAGGACTCTTCCACTAGGTGGCAGCAAATGGCCATAAAACCTTAACTAAAAAAAGAAGTCCTAGCTGTTGAAGATATTTGTGTCTTCCTTTAATTCCTCTGGGTACATCAGAGTTGTGTTCTACTAAACAGAGCAAGGTTTAACACTGAGTTAGTCAATAATGAGTAAATTGACACTAGAACACCACTATGTTTTATCAGTGAATTTCCCCAGAAGTGTTTTCTTATCATACATGTGTACCCTGTGCTGTGGCTCAAAAACACTGCTTTAGGTAAAACAAAGGTTATTAATTATTATTTTGTTAAATGTCAAAAGATTTTTTGAGTATTTTTCTGTTGTTTGATGAGGTCTTTAAATGATAGTTACTATTATTCCAAAGTTTTGTAGCTATTCAACCCTTTTTTTAAAAGAAAAAGTATTTCTTTTCTTTTTACCTTTTTGTGTTAAAACTAAAACCAAGCAGAGTTTGAAGAATTACAGGCTGAGACCAGAGGAGTTAATATCTGAATTGGCCTCTATGTTGAAAAATGTTAAATCAATTTTAAGTGAACGTAATAAAGTGATATGTTTGAATCCTACAGTTTTTATAGATAATGGTGTGATGCATGGATCTGACGATGGGTGGCAGTATAGATGCATTAGAACGTGGTTTTGGTAAACTCACGACTACTGGTAAAAGTAATGTAAGTTAAGGTTTTGTTTTTACATTATGCCTTTTTATGATTATTGACAACATTAAATTAAATCAATGTTTGTGATGCAGCCATCATCCCCTGAACTGCACCCCCGTCCACAGTAAACTGCTGCTGACTGTGTTCTGTAAGCTGTCCACATCATCAGGTGAAGTCTACAATATTACATTTAACACATTTCTTACCAAATACATTGACGTTTGATTATAAAGTCTACAATGGCAAATGTGTTTATACATTTGTATGTCAGACAGAAATGTGTCAACAAATGTATTAGAACAGTGGGTTTGCTTTTTATAATCTGTGAATCTAAATTTTTTTTTTAGGGGAGGTGAGCTTTTTTACATTTTTAAGTTTCAGAGAGTCAGCCAATCAGTACTGGGCTTCATAATATTGTGACTAATTTGTGAATAATGTGAAATAGACACGAACTCATCCATCAAACCTGCGTCTGGTATTTTAGTAGAAATTCTGTTGTACACAAATAACTCAAATAATACTGACAAAGAAAGAGTTTCAGGACAAGCGCACGTTCAATAAAAAAGTAGTTCCGCCTTCAAAAATGTTTGACCAATCCACACGCAGAAGCCCAGCTTCCATGCCCTGGTTCATTAACTCTCAGTGTTGGCTTCAGTGGAAGTGTTTTTTTTTTAAATGTATTCCCCACACTGAAAAATAACCCGTGCTGCTTCAATGAAGCCGATGGAGATGAGCTGTAACAGAACTTAATACGCACCGCTGGCAACAGAAGAGAAGAACATCCCATCAGACCCTCTGTGATAAACAGCTGATTCTCAATGAACCAGTTGAACTGGTTCAAGCCGACCTTTTAATAAATTCCATTTAAATGAAACTATAGATATTGACAACGTATGTTATGACATTTTAGAGAAAGCTGAGCTTCTCCTGCTGCACTAGAGTTGTCACCACTGCTGTGTGAATACTGTGTTCTGTGCTTCCCTTGTATTCTTTACAGAAGGAGACGGACCGAGACTGGCCACTTTGTTTTTCCAGTGAAAAAGAGAAGGAGAGATGAAGTCAGTGATTCGTTCTCATTTCTTTTAGAAACGACCCTGTGAGTTCTGTGTTTGTTCATGTTATGTGTATCTCATGACTGGTTCTTGTTGCCATGGGGAACACGGAGAAGGTGGTGGCAGGTCAGGGTTGAGCACAGTGGGGGTGCAGAGCTGAGATTAACTGTGACTGTGACTCTGGAAACGAGAGGTTAAAACAGCAGGTGGTCCTGCACTGCTGTGACCTGACTCTCTTTTCTTCTTTGCCTACTGGCAACTCATCCGGAGAAACATTCTCACTGTCCAACTACATTGTGAATGTTAAACTGATGTGTGATCTTAGCCCTGACTGTCTGTGTAGTTTTGATATCACGAGACAACGTCGAGCTGGATGTGAGTTTTACACGGTCGGTCCGTCTCACTGTGCTTTTGTCTGAAACCAAACTTGTGTTAGCAGGACAGAGGGTATTATTGTTTGGGGGTCTGTTCTGACAGATGCTTGGCTGATGACTTCAGCTCCACCATGAACTGTCTTCTTATTGTTCTGCTGTAGAAATGGGATCACAACTGTGCCGGTCTGGGAATGGGACCACTAGTCAGAAAATGTGTAGATTAGCAGGGATTGTGAGAATGTAAAGTTGAGGACAGAGTTGGTAGGCTCAGAAAAAAAAGAGAGAAAATCTAATTGTCTTTTAAAACACTGCTGAGGGAATCTGTTCATAACAAAACAGAAATAAATACAATGGATGTTTTATTAGATGAAGAAAGTTTGTAAAGGGAACTTCTATCTGTCATCTATAACCCCTGCTCTCAGGAATAAACATGGTGTGGAATGAAAGAGGTGGAACTGTAGGAGAAAACATGGAGACAAAGTTAAATATAACGCCGTAAGTGCGTGAGGTGTTTTACGCGTTGACAGTATGTGATGAAGTCGCAGAGTATTAGGAGACAGAGGTGGAGTTTTTTTTTTTTTTCACGAGACAGCAGGTACATGGCACATTTTTGGAATAGCAGTCAATGAAGAGGTGCTAAGGAGTGTGAGAAAGGTCAAGTAGACACTGGTGGCAACATTTTGGTGAAACAGCTCTCAGACAGTAGCAACATTACTCTCAGGAGTCACTTTCCTTTACCTGATGTGTGGTGGTGTAAATGAATTGTTGGACAAATACTCTCAAGTTGAAATAAATATTGAATACCTCATTCTTACATATTTTCTTTTTGAAACTTCAACTTTAATTTAGTTATTAACTGAGTATTTATATTTATATAATACAACAGAGAATTTTAAATTCACTCACTGTTAGTTACTGTCTTCATTTGCTCCTTGTGTTTAGGCCGTGGTCTTCACACCAAAGTGTTAAAACTGGACTTCCAACCTGCACAGCTGCTCGAAACCCCTGACGAAAAAGAAGCAGAAAAAAACTAGTGGCACATATTTCAAACAGAGCAGCCAAAGACGTGACCTTCTTCTTTATACATGTGAAAAGAGCGAGCTGTTAAGGAGAAAGTGGGCCAAGCTGAGTCAGGTACAGCCATGTGTGACAGAAACAAACACAAACTACTCTCCCTTTAATTTAAACACAAAGAAATGCTCTTATTTCTACAGAACACAAATAGTACTACAGGACGTACACATTTGTATATTGTCACTTACATTGTGCAAAATGTCTAACATTAATTTACAGTATAATTCACACTTCTTTGGTGGTGGTGTAAGTAAATGTTGCCCAAGTGCTGTAACACAGTGTAATTGAATATGAACATTTAGTCTCATGTCAAACTGAACTCCTACTAAAACGCCACTGGTCGGGTTTTTTAGGTTGTTGAAGTGCTGTTCACATGGCAAAATGTAACTTCAGAATTACTCAAAAATCTGTAGAATGTTCCATCACTGGCACTTTTGGCACTACTTTCTGTACTCAGAATACTTCAGTTTAACAAATGTTGTCCGGAGAACCAACTTGTCACGAGCAGTAGTTTTTTTTCTTCTCTTTCTCTCTTGAGATGCTCTGTTAAAAGCAGATCTTTTCCGGAGGCCTTTCTGAACTCAACCTCACAATAAAGCCTATTCTGGCAACAGATTAATGCACACACATAAGAGGAGCCCTCTGCACAGTCATTNATTTAAGGGTGAGAGCAGTGAACTGCTTCATGGATTTCAGGGAAACAGACTGAGTGTGGAAATGCAGGTGTTATTTCCAGCAACATGATGGCACTTTTAGAAACTTCCAGGATGTAAAAAATAGGAAGGTACTGATGTAAATACAATATCTGGAAGCTAAGTCATGTAGTTCGCACTAAAATAGGCGGGGATGATGGGTGGTACAAAACAAAGTTTTAAAAACAATACAAAAAGTTGGTACACTACCACCGATGGTTTCCAACATAGGGTTCCCTTAATTAGATAAAAAAAGTATGTGCACCACCTCAGGTAGTGTCTACTCTTCTTCTGTCAACACTTCTAATCTGTTTTTCGCTAAACATGATCAGAGAACTATCATTTGAGTAACTAATGATAGTAACTACAGAAGAAAGAGGGTCAAAGTCAGGCATTACTAAAGGGAAAAGGGGTTGGACAAAAAACTTCAGACCTCTGCACACCAGAGACATACAGTGTAACACATCATTAATCCATCTATAGATGTAAAATTCAAATGGTTGCTGATTAACTTGTAGGCTGTGTATAATCCGATCCTGTCTATTCTAGTAACAGTAGGTGCCAGTAATTGAACTCCCTGAGACGTCCTCTGTCGTTACGAACTCTCGACTCTTGTTAGTCACATCACATCTATGGTCTTTGATCAGCTAAGCTGACTCTTAAGCTTAGCTAAATGTGTCAATGGTCTGGAAACTTTACGGAGAGGGAAAAAAATACTGAGAGCTAAAGGCATAAAAGTACGACCACAGTGATTAAAGGGGATCTTTTTAGACGACCACAGTGATTAAAGGGGATCTTTAGAATGGATTTATTTATTAGCAATTTAATCCATGTGACATAACGCCAAGTTTCTAAACACAAAATGTTTAATTTCACAAAAACTCTCGTCTGGCAATAGCTTCCCAACATTAACAGAATATGCTTCCATATAATTTAACAATATATCACTAAGCCAAATATACAATATTTGGTAGTAAATGGTTGTAAGAAGATCTTGCATGGTCAACATTAGTTACCACAAATAAATACCACTCTAAATAAAATATTGTTCCCTTCTAATGACATTGCAATGACTATTTTACAGTTACAATTCTGGAAAATATACTTTTTTGGTACGTCAACCATTGATAACAGTAAGATACTATACAAATTAGATTCTAAAACAGTTTTCAAACTTAAAAGTTTCTTATTTGAATTAAATTACGGTACGTAGCTATGTCCATTTTATGGTTAAAATTCAGAAAAAATAAACATTTTGGTACACCAACTTTTGATCACAGTAAAATAATATACCAATAAGTTCCTGAACTGATCTCCGGAAAAAAAAGTTTCTCAAAAATGACTAAAAATACACTAATTTGCCTTAAAATACTTAGCTATGTCCATTTTTGTAGTTAAAATTCAGAAAAAATATACTTTTTTTGGTACGTCACCTTTTGATCACAGTAAAATACTATACCAATAAGTTCCTGAACTGATCTCCAAAAATAATTTTTTAATTTTTCATCAAAATGTTCTAATTTGGTAGGAAATGTGCAGAAAAGATGACATTTGGAAAACAATATTTCATCATAATTTTTCAACATGACCTAAATTCACATGCTAATTTTTTAAAAGAGAAACATGCTATAATTAGATGAATGACTTTTGGGAGATTTAAAAAATTGTGTTTTCTCAAAACATTTCATCATAATGATCCTACCTAAACAGGTATA